TAACTCTGTTTTCTCCTTCAAAGATGCTGCCAGACCTGCTGAGCTTTTCCAGCAACTTTGTTTTTGCACGTGTATGGACTGACCAGGTAATGTGTATGGACTGACCAGGTCATGTACATGGACTGACCAGGTCACGTGTATGGACTGACCAGGTCATGTATATGGACTGACCAGGTTACCTGTATGGACTGACCAGGTCATGTATATGGACTGACGAGGTAATGTATATGGACTGACCAGGTCACCTGCACCAAGTGACATGGTTGGGAATCAATAGGAAATACTGACAATTTAGGACTGAGGACTAAGCAAATAAGTGAAGCTTATAATAAAACACTAGTAGCTAATATAAAGGGAAATCTTCTTTAGGCATCTAAACAAAGAGAGAGTAGTTAAAGGAGGAGTAGGGCAGACCAGAGGCCAAAAAGGGGATATACAGATGCAGGTAGAAGGCACGGATGAGGTTATCGAATCAAAGAATCACATAATACAGAAGAGGGCCTTTGGCCCATTGAGTCTGCACCAGCAAAGCTACACTAAATCGACACGAATCCCACTTTCCAACTCTTGGCCCATAACCATGAATGTTATGACACTTCCAAGTGCTCATCCACATACTTTTTAAAGGTTGTGAGGTTTCCCACCTCAATTACCCTCCCATGCACTGCATTCTAGATTCCTAGCATCGTCTGAATGAAAATTCTTTCCCTCAAATCTGCTTTAAACCTTCTGCCTTTTAGCTTAAAATTATATTCCCTTGTTATTGACCCTTCAACTATAGGTTTTTATCCTGGTTTCTATCGACCTTATCCTTCCCCTCATAATCTTATACAGTCATTCCTCTGTATCTGTGAGGGGTCAGTTCCTGAGAACTCGTGTGAATGATGAAATTTGTGAGTGTGAAGCTTGTTAAAAATAGGTTAAAAATTGTAGATACGTGAGGTTTGCCTGCGGATTTTGATTTTTGTTCTTACTTATTTTTTGGTGTGGTTAAGCAAATTTGCGATTTGTGATTCCTAGGATACAGGACCCCTCTCAACTTTCAGCACGCTAAAGGAAACAGCCTGAACTTATCTAGCCTTTCGTCAAAGCAAAACTACTGCATCCCAGACAAAATCCTGATGAATCTCCTCCGCAACCCCTCTAGTGCAATCCCATCCTTCCTATTGTGAGGTGACCAGAACTACACACGCTATTCTAGCTGTGGCCTAACCAAAGTCCTGACAACACCAGGTTCCTGATAACCTCCTTGTTCTTATAATTTATACCTTGACTGATAAAGGCAAATGTCTGGTATGCCTTCTTAACTATCCATCCTGCTGTCTTCAGAGATCTGTGGACCAGCACCCTAAGATCCCTGTGTTCTTCTAAGCTTCCTAGTGTCTTGCCATTTGTTGAGTACTCCCATGTCTTGTTACTTCTTTCAAAGTGCATCACCTCACTTTTATCAGGGTTTAAATTCCATCTGCCACTCATCTGACCAATCCATCTATACCCTCCTGTAACCGAAGACCATCTGCCACACTGTCAACCAACTGGCCAATATCCATGTTATTTGAGATCATTCTGTTCCTCTGAGCTTTCAGGTATATTCCAAGGTATTAAAGTACTGAGCAAACTATTGAGATTTAAGGTAAGCAAGTCCGCAGGATCTGATGGCCTACATCCTAGGGTCTTAAAGGAAGTGGAAGCAGACATATTGGATCAAATAGTTATAATATTCTAAAATTCTTTGGATGTGGGAAAGGTTCCAGCAGATTGGAAGATTGTTAATATAACACCCTTATCAAAAAGGGAAGGAGGCAGAAAGCAGGAAACTACAGATCAGTTTAACATGTATCCATGCTTTTAAATATTGAGTGAGTAAGCAGACATCTGACAAATGGAAGATAATAGAAGAAAATTTGAAGTTATTCACTTTGGCAGGAATAATAAAAAAGCAGAATGTTATTTAAACATAGAACAATTGCAGAATTCACAGGTGCAGAGGGATCTGGGTGTTCTGGTGCATGAATCACAGAAATATGTTCTTGAGCCTTCGACTAAGGGGAGTGGGTACTTTCTATCTCCCTGTCCATGCCCCTCATAATCTTATACATCTCAATCAGGATCCCCCTCTGCACCAAGAAAAAAGGCCAAAGCTTATTCAACCTCTTTTCATAGATGAAATGCACCATGTGAGGCAACATCCTGATAATCTCCTCTGCGTCTCCAGTGCAATGTCATCGTCTCTATAGTATGGAGACCAGAACTGCACACAGTACTCCAGTAATACATTTTGCTTTAATATTATCGGAGAACTCCAGCAAATTAGTGAAACATGACTTATCCTTCATAAAATCATGCTGACTCTGATGCATTGTGTTTTGGCTTTTCAAATGCCCTGTTATTCATTCCATAATAATGGATTCCAACAATTACCCAATGATACCTGTTAAAATAATTGGTCTACAGTTTCCCAGTTTCTGCCTCTCTCCCTTTTTATATACGGGTGTTACGTTAGTATTTTTCAAATCCTTTGGAACCTTTCCAGCATCCAGGGAATTTTAAGAACAAATAACCAAAAAAAATTGGCTGGGGAGGCTGTTGCAGGAAAAGCGGTGTCTGGTAAGTGGGGGGTTTCAAAAGTGAGATAATGGGAATTCAG